CCCCCCGCGGCCCGGCCGACGGGACCCGGCGGGCGGCGGGGCGGCCGGGATCCTGGTGGCTGGCCCCGTTCTCCAGGGCTTGCAGTTAGGGGCCTTTTCTTTTTCGGGTACGGGCGTTGAACCCGAGCTCCCCTTCGCTCTGAGCTGCGTCCCAGCCCTTGTTGCCCTTTTCTTTTGGGCTAAGAGTCCCGCTGAGTCGCCGCATCGCCCGGGCCGGGATCCGGTTTGCGATGCTCCTGCCTCAGCCTCGCGGGGCGCTGGGCTCACGGGCGTGCGCCTCCGCGCCCGTCTTTCGGGGCGACGCGAGCGAAACGGTGGCCTCTGTGTCTGCCCAGAGCTGAGCTGCTTCCTCAGCTGGGCTCCTCGCGAACCTCGGGGTTCTCCCAAGGCATAGGGGCGTGTGTGTCGCCGCCCTGCACGGCACGTGCCGAGGGCGTCGCAGTCCGCAGCGGACCCGGCCGCCCGGCGACATCCGGAGGCTGCGCGCCCCCTGGCCTCGCCTCGCCGCTCCTCCGAGGCCTTCCGCCTTCCTTGCGCCCGGGCTCGTTTCCCCTTTACGTGCAGGGCTTTCCCGCTCTCCTTTTCCCGACCGCTTCTTCCCTGCTTGCTTTTGGCCTGATGAGTCTGATCCGGATCCAGGTAAGCGTTGAGATGAAGCCTGTGCCTCTGGGGAGCGGATGCCGCGTTCGCTGTTGGTTGCCATCACCTGGGTGACCGTGGTGACCGTGGTGCTGGCTGGTGGCAAAGGCGGATCCACGGGAGCCACAGTGAAGGGAAAAGACTTGATTTATTTGCTGCGGCGCACAGGAGTGAGCCCAGAGCCGTGTACTTGGTGCCCGCCTGCTGTGCTCGCTGCACAAAGCAGAGAAGAGTCCCAGGTAGATTGGGCTTGCCATGTTCCTTCGAGTTACAGAAGAGTAACGTGCATTTGCTCCCCCGACCTCCTCCTCCCGCTCAGCAGCCGCTGTGTTTTGGAGGGAACAGGTTGAGAAGTACCCAGGCAGCTGCGCGAGTTGCTCTCAATGTTCCCGAAACCCGGGTGACGTGTTTGGAAAATGGACTCCGAGTGGCCTCTGAGGACTCGGGGCTCTCCACGTGCACGGTAGGTGACTCCGGCAGCCCTGTGCTGTCCCCGCGGGCAGAGAGCGCGCTGGGGGTTCTGGTGCAGGGCTGGGGTGGTACCCGCCGCCTGTGCCTGCTAGGCCAGGCTGTGGCACACAGCCACCCGTGCTGCCCTGAGCTCTGCTGTGAACCTTTGCCTCTTTAGTGGGCTGGTGGTATTTTGCCTCCACAAGCGTGTCTGAGATGTGAACCTCTCTTCCAGGTGCCCTGCCCTCCAGGGCCCTGTGTGTGCTGTTTCACTGCCTGTATCTGTTTCTTAGAGACCATCATATTGTTTATTGTTAGTAATATTGATGACGAGGTGTTTGATTTTTTTGGTACTGGAAATAAAATTCAGGACCTAAGTTTGCCAGGCAGGGGCCATGTCACGGAGCTAAATTCTCAGTCCAACTGAGGTGTTTCTTGAGCTACTCTGTGACTTGTGTAGTATGTACCTTTTCTTGCTTGTTTGGTTTTTAAAGGAATTCCCTGTAGTAAGCACCATCCCCATTTCATAGTTGGGAGCAGGCTCAGGGAGGTTAAGCGGTTCTGTCCAGGGCCCCATTTAATACACAGCTTCAGCTTTCTGATGGCCTCCGCCGGTGTTCTTGGTGCCAGAGTTATCCATTGCTTGTAGACTGGAGCGAGGCTAAGGTTCCGGGTCCTTAGTGAAGCTCACAGATAGGTATTCGTAGCACCTAGCAGTAGCTTGATGGCCAAAAATGTAGACCCCCAGTTCAGAGTGATGATCACTCAGGTCAAGAAGACTTTTGTCTGTTTTGGTACTGGGGATCGAACTCAGGACCTCGCACTTGCCAGACAGGCGCTGACGCTGCTGGGATTAGCTCCCCGGCCCAGAAGACTTCAATGTTTTCCTTTGTTACTGGGAATCAGGCTCACACGCTCTTGCCTGCCAGGTGCACTATGCCACTGACCTGTACCCCCAGCCCAAGAAGACTGTCATGTTAAAGTGTAAAATGTGTGTCAGAAAAAGAGAAAGATTGTTTAACTTAGCTGGCCTTTGATTGCATTAAGGTTGGGCTCTGGATTGATGCTGGAAGTCGATACGAAAATGAGAAGAATAATGGAACAGCTCACTTTCTGGAGCACATGGCTTTCAAGGCAAGTTGTAAGACTGACTGTACAGAAGTGAATTCTCTTGACCAGGTAGTCTTTCCCTGTGTTTGTATCGAAACCAGAGCCTGAAGCCAAGCAAGCTGTCGACTTCAGAGCTCTGTCCCCCGCACAGTGCTCAGTAAAGCTTTTACGTGCAGAAGCCCAGTCTTGTGAAGTTTTTATTCCTCCAAGTTAGTGTCTAAGATGATTACTGATTCTTTACTTGTAAAAGTGAGACAAGGATTTGCTCCCGGAATGCAAAGGTTATCTGAGTGTGTATCATTTTGAAGTTGAATGCATTTTAGAAACCATATCTGTCCTTGTATAAAACTGACCTTGACTTTTGTCCTGTATTTCACTATCTGAAGTGCTTAGGAAGATGAAGGATAAAGAAAGGGATCACAATTTGTTTTCCTTCCTCCTCCCCCAAGGGCACCAAAAAGAGATCCCAGCTAGACCTGGAACTTGAGATTGAAAACATGGGTGCTCACCTCAACGCCTACACCTCCCGGGAGCAGACGGTGTACTATGCCAAGGCGTTCTCCAAAGATTTGCCAAGAGGTATTGCTGTTGTTTATACTGGAAGATTGTGTCATTGTCACAAGAGGACAGAGATAATTTAGTACTGTTTTTATGTCTTTTATGAAAGAGTGACCTGCAGAAATGTGAAAAAAAAAAAAAAAAAGAACTCTGGGTGAGGGCCAGCTCTTATTTTTTTTTTCCTCTAAATATGACAAATGATATCAAATATTTATTGGGTTGAAGATGTATGCAAATAGGCCCATGACACTTGCTTTAAGCTGCTTCTGCCAGAGTTGTATAGGTGTGCTATTCTTATTTTTATTCCTTGTTTGATACAAAAACTATTGGTTTTGAGCAAAGTAAGCAAAACACTTTTGCAGTGGTAGAATTAACAGAGGTTTGCATTTTAGAGCTAATTTGTGGAGAATGAAAGTTCCTTGCATAATGTAATTTTTTTATTATTATTATTTTTTTTTTTTTGGTGGAACTGGGGATTGAACTCAGGCCCTTGCACTTGCCAGGGAAGCGCTTATTCTACTGAGCCACCTCCCTGGCCCCATAATGTAATTTTATTACTTCAGAATTTGGGGTTTCATGGAGTTTCACTAATAGGTGGGAGTGGCACTTTGCCCAGGTGCTATGTTTGTAAAAATCCCCTTGCTCCCATAGTGCCTGGACAGTGTCACTGCTTCGCTCCTGAGGAACTGAGGAGACTGACCTGATGGGCTAGGGCGGGCTCCAGTGCACTTCTTTTGACCGAAGAGTCATTTGCTTTGTCAAGAGGACTGCAGAGCAGAACAGGAGGCTCCTCAGCTGTACCTTATTAAACAGTGTGATTCAGTACCATGGCCAGCGAGCATGACGTGGTGGAGACAGTCCTGATGAAGGAGCTTTCGGGTGCAGGCAATCAGGGACTGGACCCAGGGCTGGCGTGCTCTTCAGAGAGTTGTTCCTTGTCAGCCACCCCTCTTTTTTTTGTCCCAGTCAGGAATTTCTAATAGTCATTCTTACTTTTTTATTTTATTTTTTTTGTGGGAGGTGGTACCAGGGATTGAACTCAGGACCTTGTGCTTGCCAGGCAAGTGCTTATTCTACTGAGCTATCTCCCTGGCTCCATTCTTACTTATTGATGACTGGAGTTTTGCTGGTGATTTTATCCCCTCAGCTGGGTGAAGCTGGTGTAGTAATAGTTCAAAGGTTTGGACTAGAGACCTCCAAATGTTTATGATCACTCATACTTCATTTTTTTTTTTCTTTTTGGGGTCTTAGGGATTGAGTCCAGGGCTGTCGCAATAAGCCGTGCCCCCACCCCTTTTCAAAACCGCATTTGGGACAAGGTCTCACTAAGCTACCAGGTTGCTCAGGCTTGGCTCCCATTTGTAGTACTCCTGCCTCAGTGTCCCAAGCCCTTCCTGGCCTTGCAGGGGTGCACTGCCTGGCTGGCCCCCCCATTCCTGTCCATGAGGAGACTGATCCCACAGCTGCAGTAAGTTAACTGAACTACTCACCAAACAGTGTAAAATATGTGTTACAAAGCAATAGGGGAGACTCAGAGGAAAATGGTACCAGGAAATAGGACCCAATCCCTGGGACTACTGGCTCAGCTGCAGCTTGCTGGAGGAAGGGCTTCCTGTGGGGCACCCTGCTGCCCAGCGCCTGTGGCTCTTCGCTGTCCCCTGAGACTGTGGTTTCCCCATCTGGACAGATGGATTTTATTGGTGTTAGAGATAGTTTTAAAAATAAAATAATTTTGCGGATCATTTCTGCCTTGGTCATGCGCTGAGTCTCTGCTGACTCTTAGAAGCCTGTCACATTCTCCATGTTTGGTCATAGTTCGCTCAGAGCTAGGCCCCTTTAGCCAGCAAACTGAAGTTGACAGTACTGTAAAACCGTGATTTAAGACTATTGTGTATGTTTTATGTTTAATAAAATTTAGATTTTAATTGCAAGAAGGAGGAGTTGGATTTTTCTGGTTTTAGAGGGGTATGTAATTTTTCTCAAAACATTTCACTTCACTTTTACATTTTTATCCATTCAGATTTAAGAGGGCAACATAGGTCTGTAAGGTTCCTTGGGGATGAGTTGTACATTGTAAAGCTTTTCTGCCTCTGTGTACCAGCCTCATTGCTGGGAGAACTTGAATAGAAATATATATAATGTTTTGCCTTATAATTTTCATACTGAACAATCTTACATTAATTTGCAGATTTCTGTGGCATTTTGAAGTAGGTAGGCTCTGTACCCACAGGGGTTTGTATTTTACATTTTAAAAATTTTAATGTCCTTTTGATATATTGAATATATGGATGAATTTTCTCAATTTAATCACTTTAATCAATATTGAATGTTGGTCAGTGTCATGGTTTCTGATGTTGGCGTAAGAGATTTTAATATTGAAAGTAAAGATTCCTGGTGTTTCTGTGTGTGTTAATTTCAACTAGCTGTGGAAATTCTTGCTGATATAATACAGAACAGCACCTTGGGAGAAGCAGAGATTGAACGTGAGCGCGGAGTGATCCTTAGAGAGATGCAGGAAGTTGAAACCAATTTACAGGAAGTCGTTTTTGATTATCTTCATGCCACAGCTTATCAAAATACAGCACTTGGACGGACAATTTTGGGACCAACTGAAAATATTAAGTAGGTATAAAAATTTATAATATATATAAACTTCTCTAAGAAGTGTGTTTCTCAAAGTCATTTCCCCTTGATAATCTGAGAGCGACTGTAGTTAGCTATGCTTTAAATTCACAGCATTCCCAGGTGTCTGGCCTCATAGCTGCTTCTCGAATGAACAGTTGAGGGTGTCGGATTGCCTTCCTTGACATAGAAAAGTTCTTTGGTAATTGTTGTCTGTGTCCCATTTCTGACTGCTTTGACTTTTTAGAGTACTGTTAAGGTTCCGTTTTATTTGAAGTATGTTACATGGAGATCTGTGTCTTTCATTTCTTTTTAAAGTGCTTTTACTCCATTGGCAGGTCCATAAATCGGAAGGACTTAGTGGATTATATAACCACACATTATAAGGGGCCAAGAATAGTGCTTGCTGCTGCTGGAGGTGAGTCCGTTGGAACTTCTGCAAATGTTCTAACAGTTGTCACAGTGGTATTTTTATCAGCTTTATCCTGGTGAGAGCTATCCTAAGAGTTCTTATTTTCAAAACAAATTCAGTGAACAGTCTAGAGGAATATGGAATGCAGGATCCAGTTTTCTTGACTTCTTTTTAGGAGGTTTCATTTATAGAAAAACAGTGTGAGCCATTCAGGTCCTAAGTGCACACACAGTGGGGTTTGCTTACAGGACAAGGGCGATGAGTGACCTGGGAGACAGTCACACTTGAGGCTGAGAGAATCTCGTGAAGTCTGAGGTTATTTCTGGAGCGATAACGCCCCACTTGGCTGGGCAAGGAGTGAGCTGTTCCTCCCGTCTGTGGTCAGGTCTGCCGGCCAAGAGCGGGGAGCACAGCGTGGGAAGCACAGGGGTTCTGAGAGTGTACGGTACATCCAAACCTGCAGGTGACACCGTACTTCCTCAGGACCCCTGTGGGGTCAGTGACCGACAGTTTGCTTCTTTCCCTGGCAGACTGAACCTAGGCCAGTGGCACATTATAATTAGTTTCCAGTTTTTTCCCTATCTTAATGTTCGAACTCAATGAAGATAGTGTGTTGGTGTTCCTTTCTTTCTGGAAATTACAGTGACTTGCTAGTTGCTGGGTAGATTTCTGAGCTAATGACGTGGGGGTAGTGAAGGTGAAAGTGAAGGCCAAATGCCTCGCACACAGTCTTGTGGCTCCCGGCAGCCCACGTCATTGTGTGCTGTCTGGGATAATCTGTGACTAGCGCTGTTTCTGAAGCACCTGGAGAGAAGTGGGGTTCAGGGTTTGAAGCTGCTTCACTTAGATGGGCCCTTGCAGCCATGTCTCACGGCAGGTGGACACAGCAAAAGCGATTTTGACCCGTAGCTCGGAGTTCCCAGCATGCCTAGCTCAGCATTCTGTCTTAATGGGACCTAAGTGTTGGTGCAACGTGCAAATGGTGGCACCTTAAATTCAGTGAAGCAGACCAGCTCACCTTAAACTCACCTCAGCTGACCCCTTCTCATTTATTGTCCTGGCTCCCAGTTAGCTCGTAATTTTCAGTACATGTGGCTTTGAATTGTGAAATAAATGTTTTTGTTTGACTTCTTTGAAAAAAATTAGTTTCTCTGCCTTGTAGATTATGGTAAGTAGAGGTGTGGGAGTGGAGCGAAGAATCTGGCCCGTGCAGCACAGAGGGGCCGTTGGTGAGGCCATGCCACAGTGGCCGTGGAGGCCGTGGCCTACCGAAAGTGTTGGACCGTCACTTCCTGCACCTGCTGTCCCTGTACTGTGCATTACCTTCTGTTTGTGTTGTCACCTCTGGATTGCCTGATACCCAAGGTGGCCTGTCCACAGTAATTCTCAAAGCAACATATTGTCAGTTACTGTCTGGATTTACACTCATCATTTTGCAAAATAGGCGTGCATTTTTATATTCTGATGGAATATTTGAAAGAAATACTACATTTTTTGAAGCACTCACACATGTTCAGATTTACAAGCGTATGTTTAAGAAACCGTCACTGAGCTGGGTTTGGTGTCCATGCCTGTAATCCCAGCACTTGGGAATCACGTATTGGAGACCTGCCTGAGTTAGTGAGTTCAGGGCCAACCTGAACTACGTAGCAAGCTCCTGCACTCCCCCTCCCTACTGCCCGCGAACCTTCACTGACTAAATCTTTTAGGGCCCCAAGTTTGGACAGTAAGAGGTGTAGAATCTGAGTCTTAGGTTTTGGATATTGAAGTAGTGAGCATGTGGATATATTAAGACATTCAGAAGAATCTATTTTGTCCCTGAGTTTTGATGGGAAAATTCCAAGAATAAAGTTTATCTGTGTCTCTAGCTTTTGTAAGTGACATAGGGCTCATTTGTTATTCTTTCCTACTTTAAAACATGTATACTGGAAATTGATCTCGGTAGGCTGCGTCTCAGAACTTAGCGATTTTGTGTGGCAGGTGGTATCTGCAAACTGTCTCAGTCATTGGTTGCACTATTGTGTTGATGACAAGCTGTACAAGCTCACGCCTTACTAACACCAAGGAAACGGCATGTTGCGAGCTGTTTCCTCTGAAAGGGCAACACGTGGCGCAGCCTGCCTCCTGGGGTCTTGTTAGGCAGCGTGTCCCACTCACGGTCTGATGGGGCTGTGCTGCTGTTGGAGAGGGCTCAACTGTTTTTCTTCATTTAGGTGTTTCCCATGATGAGCTGCTTGAGTTAGCGAAGTTTCACTTTGGTGACTCTCTGTGTGCACACACAGGAGAAATACCAGCTCTGCCGCCCTGCCAGTTCACAGGGAGTGAGGTAGGCATTTAGCCTTTTGGGTGTCTTCTGTTATATTTGTAAACAAATATGCAAAGTGTATGTGTTTCCAATCAGAGTCTAATAGGAGAGGCAGGCTAGGCTGAAACAGAAGAGGGAAAAGGATGGGCCACCCTGCTTTCGTGCCTTCCTATTCCATGTGATTTAACTACTTTTCCTAAGGGAGGAAGGTGTTAAGAGCAGTGTTGTAATTTGATCCTTTTATGCTTTTTGACAGTTGGCCTATTACATGTTAAGATATAAAAATAACCTTACCATCAGAAAGACCTCAACTCTTTCCAAGTTTGCTCTTCTGCCCACAATAATTTGTCACTTGGGGGTAGTGTGTAAGTCAGAACTTGCAAGAATCTGCTATTTACCGCCTTTAGCTTTGAGTCATAATTTGGTTTGCTACATTGAAGATATTGCTCAAAACAGTCTAGAAAGAGGTCTGGTGGTGCTGCTTGCATAGAATGGTAGCATGGGCACTGTAGAGCAAAGCTGTGATGCAGGAGTTTAAATTTCTGTAGGAAAATACAGATTGAGAAAGACAAGATGGGTGTCTACTGGGTAAACCTAGTAGTGTTTCAGGAAGAGATCTTTTGGGGAAAGTAGCTATTGTAGGCTGGGTGTGATGGTGCATGCCTGTAACCCCAGCACACTGGGAGGCCAAGGCAGGATTGTAAATTCAGGTCCAAGCTGGCTAACTTAGTGACTCAAAATAAAGAGGGCGGGGAGTGCAGCATATTTGAAAGCCCTAGGTTCACGCAGTACTGCCCCCTCCCCACCTTGAGTCTTCTAAACTGCAGTGTAATGAGTCCTAGAGTAATAATGGTGAACATTTTACCTTGACAGTTAATGGGACTGGTGAGTCTCTTTCTTGTTAAGCATAAATCTTAAATAAGTGTTTTTATTTTTCCACTATAGATTCGTGTGCGGGATGACAAGATGCCCTTGGCACACCTTGCAATAGCTGTCGAAGCTGTCGGGTGGGTGCATCCAGATACCATCTGCCTCATGGTTGCCAACACGCTCATTGGCAACTGGGATCGTTCTCTTGGGGGAGGGATGGTAAGTGATTTTAAGTTCTCATGACTGGAAAACTGTTTTCTGAATACATTGTAAAAACTCTTTTCCCTCTTTGAAATAGCAAAATATTGCTTTGTACCATGCTATTAAAATATAAACAGATCTGGGTTGCATTTGGGTTAGAAAAAAGTTTTTTCCTCTGCCAAAGAAATTAGTAATCGGGGGTCAGGGATATAGCTCAGTGGCATAAGCGCCTGCCTGGCAAGCGTAAGGTCCTGAATTCGATTCCTAGTACCAAAAAAGAAAAAAAATCAGTAATGGGATAGTTGGAAAATAAGAACAGAAGAATTAGTTACTGTTGTAATAATAGTATTAGTTAATACAATAGTTTGCAATCAGTATAGTAGTCACTGCTAATATACCATTATATTCTAATCTTGCTTATACAAAGGCGATAGAAGAAAGTTCATTTGCTTTTCATTAGCGCACACTGAGGAACTGAGGGGCAAAAAACCCTTTAGCTCACACTAAGACCTGAAAAAATATATAAAGAAAAACACATAAAATGTAAACTGTTAAAAGAAATTTGGATAAAAGAATTTTTTGGCATTTTTACAATTCTGTAAGAGAAATTATTTCAAAATAAAGATTTATCTGGAAACTTTGTTTAAACTATATTTCATAAATATTTTTAAGTTCACATGCAGTAGAATTCCAAATCTTTCGACATGTGTGACCAGGAGGCCTATGAGAGGGTTGACAGTATCACTGTATTGCTTTATGAGCAGGTGTACTATATTGAGGACTGAGTGCTTTTACACTACGTATTGGGTCAGATGAGCATAATTTTTGGCCTCCCTGAATTTTATTACTATGTCACTGAATAAAACCAAAAACTTTGGCCAGGCATGGTGGCGCATGCCTGTAATTCCAGCATTTGGGCGGCTGAGGTAGGAGGACTGCCACAAGTTCAGGGGAGCCTGGCTTACATAGTTGAGTTCAAGGCCTGCCTGAACTATAAGGCAAGACAAGAAAGAAAAAGAAGGAAAAAGAGAAACTTAGGCATTCGTCGGCTGCATACATCATTTTCCTTGATACTTTGGACATAGGTGTTTACATTTCTCTTGGACTGTTGTTCCCTTACAGAACTTATCTAGTAAACTGGCCCAACTCACTTGCCACGGCAGTCTCTGCCACAGCTTCCAGTCCTTCAACACGTCCTACACAGACACAGGACTGTGGGGCCTCTACATGGTTTGTGAACCAGCCACAGTTGCAGACATGATACACGTCGTTCAAAAAGAATGGTGAGAAAACAAGTAAACAGTTTACATCTTGACTAAGATTTGTTTCCTAAGCCAGTTTTCTTTTTACACTTTGAGGTGATAATTTTATCTTTTAAAGCAGTAGTAGCAATTGCCATGTTTTTAAACAGGTATTTCTTAGAAGAAATGTATGAAGCTGGTTTTATAAATTCTTAATCCCTCAAAAGTAAATCATTCCATGGATCCTAGAACCTTAAAACCCAAATACAAGTTGTTTTGGAAGTATCTCAAAGTAATAAAAAGGAGTCTAAAGGTACGACTGCTGACAGAAAATGTCTTAATGAAACAGCCCAGTGTTTGAGTCAGTAGGCAGAGGCAGACTCAGCTTCTGCGACTTTTATGCAGTCATTTGCTGCAGTATCCTTCAGTGGCTTCCATCCAGCTATAGCCCACTGATCTAGCATATTAAGCCCTTATAGATGTGGATTTGTAAAATTTCAAGATGATTTTAGTATTTCTCAAAATGTGGTCAGCCTGTTTGGTGTGTTGAACATCTACGGTTGAGCAATGAGAAATTCATATATATATTCAATACCTGAGAAAATGGTTACTAGAGAAATCAATTATTTTAGCTTTTTTAAAAAACTAGTATTAGTAATTTCAACAAGTTGAAATAACTATATAACTACAATACTTGTAAGTTTAAGGATGTTATACAGAATATGTAATATCTTTCAGATTAACTTCTAAAATTTTACAACTATTTTATAATACTAGTTTTCATTGATTTTAGGATGCGACTCTGTACAAGTGTAACTGATAGTGAAGTTGCACGAGCCAAAAATCTTCTGAAAACGAACATGTTATTACAGCTGGATGGTAAGAATGA